CTAGTGATGGCATTTCTTTGTCTGTTTGTTTCCAAACACAGTCAAAAGCAAGTGGTCACCATCTCAGCTATGATTTACTGAGGTCTCAGTGTCCCCTATGATGTCATGGCTGTTTACATCCTAAGGAAATCATCTCCCTGGAAAAGTAAACTCATTTAAAGAATTAATGCTGATTGGAAACTGCCAAACAACTGCCTGGAAAATAAGGAGCCCAGAAGTGAATAACAGATACACACACACTGACTGTCTCTTGATGAAGCAGAACAAAACTTCCCTTTTACTTTCATCCTCGGGTCTCCTGTTGTTCACAGAAATAGGAGGGTTGCAGAATAGCTAGGAATGAACTGCCACCGTGTGGCCAAGGCACAGTTTTAGCTTCCCTTCTAGAAATCTTCAAGAGCTGATGCTGTGACAGCCCCCAGCACTTAATTGTGGAAGTTTTGTGCTCAATCACACATTTTACTTCGGTGTCCTGTGCCATGTCTCCTTATTAGTGCCCACAAGCTTCTTGGTTAAGTTTTGCTCCCTCCTCAATCTCACTTTAATAAAAGGGTGGAATACATCACTTTTAATTCCGTAGATTCTTTTTATATTTTCTCTAACAAGTTACCTCCTTTTCTGTGAGGAGTCAAGGTATCATAATCACTGAGTCATTCAGGTGCTGATGCTTGGTCTTGCCTTATAAAACATGGATAATATTTTAATATGACAAGCCTAGTAGTAGAAAATTTGTCACCATGCACTAAATTGCTGCTAATCGAACAACAGCCTTTAGCTTCTGCTTCTCAGTCTGGTCTGAAGCAGCTGAGCTCGTTTGTCATGATTTGCCCTCAAAATTCTTCTGGAACGTGTTTTTCTACCTGTTAAATTCACAATAGTTAGAATCATTACACTGACCTTATGCAGCTTGGTTTCTCTTTACCATGGGCATAATTCAGAGCTACAGGTCCAAAAGTTGGCAAAAGCCTCCTAAACACAGCCTGGTCAGCTTCATGCTGCTTTCATCTCCTTGTGGACCTGCCCCACCACCAAATCACAGAAGGCACTCTCCCAAATTTACCCAAGCAGAACAACAAACTGACCCTACAGCTGTGAATATTTTCAAGACACCCACTAGGTGTGAATCTAATATATTTAATACACCCCCTCAAAGCTGGAGCAGCAGATAACCATGTAATTTTCTGTGCATTACCTCGGAGGACTTCCTGCATTACTCAAGGCGATGCTGACACCTTCTGCCTTCATCATAACTTTATGGCACTGCAAGATTCAAACAAGAGCATACATCTTGTCCAGCTGCCAACTTTCCATTAGCTGCCTATATTTCTTCAGTTTCTGCCAAGGACCCACACGATTTCACCTCACTTACATGCATTGCGATAACACTGTGTTGCTCAACACAGAAGGACAAAATTATTTTGAATCCTCCAGGACACGATTTCTTCAACAGACTTCACCTCTCTTCAGCTGCTGGATTCTTGCATGCAGGGTTTTTAGTTTCCCAAAGACAGCTGAGGATGGGGTGTCACAGAAATTTGTAGCCAGGGCCCCTTCAGAGCTAGTACTCAGCAAAGACACAAGCTAGAGGGACCTTACATATCCTAATACTTCAACTGAACTGGATTTGAAACAAAATATGAGATGTTTTCACAAAGATCTTGCCTGTTCTTCCAGCACACTCTGGAAAAGAGGTTTTGGGGATTGGTGCTGCAGGGAGCACTTGCAGGCAGCAGCCTTTTGCTCGATAGAGCTCCTGGTTGATGCCCTTCATTACCACAGCCTGGGGGAAATCTTCCAAAGGGCTCACTAACAATCTCTTCGAAAGATCTAGGTCATATGGAGCTCTGCCAGACATGAACAACTCTTCTGTGTGATTGGCATTGTCAGAACACCTCTAGGAGGTGCTGAATTTCTAGGATGCAATGCCTAAAAATAACTGCATGTTGCAACAAGGTTATTTAGAGGACACACCCATGACAGAGGGAATCCCTTCAGTGTCCACACAGAGAGCTCTGCCTGCAATGCCATGAGGGAATGATTGAGTGCAGATGGGGAGCACTTTTGTAGGGCAGCCAAGTGCACCTGGCAACTGTGTAGAAAGGTGCCTAGGGTGAGCCAGTGCCAGGCAGGGGCAGGGTTCTGTCTTGGGCTAGTACAGTGTGTGCTGCCATCCACACTAAATCCTTCTCTGAGGAGACAGCTGACACTGGGGATGGAGATGCTCCCCTTTCCTCCCTCCTGCTCCCATTCTGCTTAACTGCCTGCTCTAGCACAGGTAGCACAAGACCCCTTAAGCCTCAGTTCCTGCCTCCCCAGAGAGTGCTCTAAGATGTAGGGACTGCTCGCCATAGCTCTGTTGGAGCTGAACCATGTTCAGTGAGGAGCATACAAGGGCTAATAGGTTAGAAGAAGAGGGAAGGTGACTGCACTTATGGGATAGATGATAGCACATGTTATCAGAGAAAAACTGGTTTATTTTACCCACTTAATTAGAATTTCCTAAGATGATGACTGGCTTTAAGTGAACTTTAAGAACAGGGGGAAAAAAAATCTGTTTGGGGAAAAAACCCAAACAGAAATTATGAATCTGATTTTCCCCACTCTGTCTCTTATTCATTAAATCAAACCCAGTTTCACACTGAACCTTCAGTGTTGGACAGCAGGGGGACCCTTACCCCCTGTCACAGCCAGATGAGCAGAGATGTCTCTGTTTTACAAGGACAGACAAGAGGTTACAGGGAAGGTCCACATGCTGAAGCAGTCTGGTTCTGCACATCAAAATGCATTCTTAAAACAATAGCGAAGAGATCAGTTACTCCAATGCATAAAACCTTGGCACTATGAACATGAAACACAGCCCAGGGCAGAAAAACATTGGAATCCTTTTCTTCTTTCTTCTCATCAGTATTTTAATTATGCACATGCCTGTTCTGTTATAGTAACTCAAACAAGATGGTGAGATTTTCTGTCAGCACTCATCCATGTTGCAGGTTCTAGTAGCAAAAAGATGCCCACACACTCAGTGAAAATGTTCCTCAGCAACTTCAGCATGAAATTCTGTTTGGAGAGGAGTTTCAGGGTGACACAGTTGCCAAAAATATACCATTTTGAGCACTGTCCCCCTTCTCTCACGCATACACAGAACTGCAGTCTTGAGACATGCCAGAACCTAGGGGTGTGTTTGGAACATGCTGTGCTCTGGCTATCCCACCTGGCTGAGTGGAATTTAACAATCACATTCAGAGGCAGAATGTTTTAAGGGCATTTAGCTCAGGGCAGACAGTACAGGACTGGGGAGGTACAAAGGCAGCAACACAGTAGAAAGGATACAGACTATTGTGAAAAGCACCAACATCAGGGAGACAAAACATAGACCTTAATTTAAACTTTCTTTGAGTATGTATCAATTATGTTGCTTAAACTGGTTATTTTCAAGAGGATGCAAACTAGGCCAAGAGCAGCAAAAGCACCTCCAGAATTTAAGTGCTACAGAAACAATTCCTCCCTCTCCTTCACAAACATCACTAGAAAAGAATCAAAATGCTGTAATCAAACAGGAGGTGCCAGCTCTGAGTGGAGGAACATATGTTATTTTGGCACTTTCCTACCTTATGACAGAAAGTTGCCTAGATCATTAAATTGAGAGATACTTGCAACCCATGGCAGAAATGTTTTTTGAATAACTTAGTCCCAAAGACTGGGAACACAAATCAGCAGGAATTACCATGTTCTCTGTGAGGGTACAAGGTTCATGGAGGTTTTGATATATCAGATGGGCTATATTGATGGCAAATGCCTTAGGGAATTCATCCAAGCCTGTGGACACAAAAACTACTGATCATAGAAACAAGAAGACACTAGCAAATCACCAGCTGGTCACACCAGTGCTGCCATGACCCATCTACCAAAGTCTAGCACCAGCTGAATTATGCCAGATGAAAAAAAAACAACAGAGTAAGCAAAACCTTGATCCCAAACACCTTATCAAATTCTTAAGACAAGGTATGAACTGGATAAAACAGGCAGAACGTGAGTCTTATTAATTCCAAATATCACATGGAATACATATCACCTCTAAGATGCAGAGGGACACTTCTAGGCTGCATTCATCCCAATATATTGTCTTTAATGATGGAGTAGCAGAATTCCAAATATTTGGTATAATCTAAAGGTGATGTGGTGGCTTTCTCTGCAAGTTATCTTCTGCCCCTGAGAACAACCTTATTTCCAATTTATTCACAAAATGTTCTCCATGACTTTAAGCTTTTCTAGTGTACACTGGGGTGTCTAGATTCATCAGCTGGGTGTTAAAATAGATGAAAACTAGCATATGGTGTAACCGTATGAAAAAAGTTGCATACATTTTTGCATGCAGTGAATATTTTGGTGTATCCAACAACAGAACCATTTCCAGCAGCAAGCAGAGTACAAACATCACTGGAGCACACTATTCCCCCAAACACAAGTTTCTAATGCTGATTCTCTCACTGTTTGTACTGCAGACTGAGTGTCTTGGTGCTGCTGTATACTCTCGGAACATAGAGTCAATGATGGCACGTACAAATTTTCATAATCAACAGGAGAAAATTCTGCTTCACTGCTCTGACATTGGAAACATTGCTGCAAAAGCTCCAAAATATTTGCCAAATTCCTTGAGCTATTTTGCAGTACTGGAGTCAGAAGAAAAATTATTGCACCAGGCAATCTCTGAATCATTATCTGTAACAGCACTAGAAAAAAGGCTTGTCAAGCTGGAGTTTCCTCCCAAGCTGAATGACAAAGCAGTGTTGTTAGGCACAGAAAATTTGATGAGTCAAACCCTCATATGAATCCAACATTGGAATAGCCATGGCTTAAAATATGTTCCACCACAAAGAACCTTCAGTGACTGCACAGGTCACTTCTAGAGTGTGAGTGGTAAAAAAGAAAATTGAAAATGCGGGTCTTACATGCCCTATTTCATATATTCTGTCTCCAAGTGAAAAGGGAACATTCTTCTTTCAACATTCTTTCTTGCGTGTTTTAGGCTTAAATTTTAAAGTGTTGTATGCCCCTTCCACAGCTTTGGGCAAGTACATGGGATGCCTTTCCAACCTTTTCCTAGAGCCAGTGGTTCTCCGCTGACTGTTTCTTTGAGACTGGTTTGCAGCCTTAGCTGCCTGGGCAGTATCTTGTGAGTATCTCCGGGGAGCACGAAGGATCCAGTTTGAATGCAAACTGTGTTCACTTGTACTGGTAGCAACTGAAAGACAGAAGAAAATCTGGGATTAACAGTTTGTGGGTGACATTTTTATCTGCACAGTGAGGGTGCAGGGTGCTTACTAGGTCCTTCCTGGAGCTAAGGTCAAGAGACAAACCTTGTTTCACTGCAGGATATCACTTGGGTTGGGATTAATTTTATCTAGAATTTTAACACCTGCAGTATAAATATGTATGTGAGAGCTAGTCCCTTCAAATACATTCCTTGGGCACAGCTAAAATGACCTGCTTCAGATATTCACCTCAGCCTGAAGCAAAGGTGAGAAGTATCTATATCCCTCTGCTGATTATACAGGAGAGATGATGACCTTAGGTTGGCACATCTTCATTTCTCTGGGCAATCCCATCCTTTCTGGTGGAACGCCCCAGTTAGTTAGCCCAATCACAAAATTACTTATTTTTTGACAGTTGGAAAAAAGTCATCCAGCCATTTCTCAAAAAAAAAAAAAAAAAAAAAAGATAAAGAAAAAATACATCTATACATTTTATAGTTTTCCAAAGACAGCTTGAGGTAGAAATGCAATGGTGGAGCCCAGCCCTGAGAAGAAGGCAAGCACTATTCCAACCCTGCACATGCTACCTTTGCCATGTAATGACCACACATTAAATAGCTGTATCCATTCAATAGGGAACAAGTGACTTATTACCATAATTTCACATATTGCATGTAATGGTCCTAGATTTGGGAAGCAAAATTAGAAGACAACTTGTCACCCTGAAAACTCAGCTTCTGAGCTTTCTGACATAGTTTTCTAAAGACTTTCCCAGGACAGTAACTGTAAACATAGATATGTGTACATTCTTCCTGATACACGTCTTCTGATAGACATCTCTCATGGCCAGTGCGGTTGGGAAGGTGTTATCCTGACCATCCAATCCCTGGACGTGGTCAGAAACCTATAAATACTGAGAGAAAAAATAAAGTTCTCTCCTTCCTTCAGCACACCTCAAGCTGTGTCCGTGTGACTCATTTCGTGTCCAGCAGCAACAACAACTGATTAATTAAATAAATTAATTTAAAAAAAAACATGCTCTCACAATGCCATTCTTCCCTCTACCCTCTGCACCCCAAAAATAATCATATTTTTCTGGTTTATACCGCACCATCAAAATCAACATCCACATTTGGCAGATCCACATCAGGAACTCTCCTCCATCTCCCTGAATCCAGGTCTGCAATGACTGAGTCAAAGAAAGCTATTGCTTCTCTTACATCTGAACTGGACTGTGGGCCTCTTCTTTCCAAGGATGCCTGTTGATCAGACAAAGGAACAAAAAGTTAGCCAAGGGCTGGGCACAATGATTCCTTAATGAACAAACTCGATATGAAAGATGTATCTAATGCCACAATTCAGGCTGTCAGAAAAGAAACAGAGGTCCAGACTACTCCACAGTGTAGAAATCAAATGCAGGACAGCAGTCTAACAAATATCCATCCTGTTGCATGCTCAGCAAGTATCTTCCACTTGGGCACGACTGGCCAGGTGTTCCAAAATCCCTCAGAATTCCAGGCCATTGAATTGGGTGGCTAAGTGACAGCTGGGCTTTGTGGCCAAATTTATTCTGCCTAGCACCAGGCTCCTAAGGAGACACACATTAGAAATTTAGTCATGCAGGGTTCCTTCTGTAATTAATGCTGGGCTCCAGTACCTTCAGAAGATGAGTCAGGCCTTAAGTAGGCTGAACCCTCCTCTGCAGGCAGCTCTTTCTCTCAGCTGAAAAGGAATTGAGGGGTAACTTTGTTACTAATTTAAGCATCTTATTAAAATGCCTAGGTTAGGTGAAATTAATCCAGATCTAAATTGCTGAAGTCTTTTTGAAATGAAAAAGGATGGTGTGCGCTAAAATATGAGTCATTCAACACTGTGATAATTCCCACAGGAAAGCCACACAGTTTAAAATTAGGAGCCTGTCTTGATGAAAAGCAAATGCCTATGTATAAATGTTGAAGTAGTCATAAAACCTTGGTTAGTGATTCTGAAGGTACATATGGGATGAATAATTCTTGCCAGGCTCTACCTAATGAAAGGACATATCTTTTCTTTGCTAGTCCAAGTCAGATATATTGTCAGGCTGTAATACCATCTCAGAAAATTGCTACCCTGGGTTTCAATGAGACAAAAGGATACGGGCTGTGTCACACCTCTGAAGGACCAACCTGTTCCCTGTTCTGTGGAGGCAGAGAGATGAACTAGCTGATTCCCCTCCTGACATTATGGGTTGATTGACATTCTCAGAAGTGGTAAAAGATAGCTGCTACCACACATCTACTGGAAATAGTGACTGCTATTATGACTAAGCCCTTATTGGTTAAAAGGTATTTTAAAGAAATGTCTATGTGCTCCCAGCATCTGACCCACCTCTATTCTTTTCTTCTACTAGACACAAGTGGCACATTTTGAATCCATGGTCAGTCTGTAGTCCAGGACCCAGGGATATTTGGATCAAAACTCCCATAAGGACAGGTTTATCTGGACAAATTACCTTCCCATAAATCATGCAGCAGGTTAGAAAAATAAGTGAATTTCCACTGACAGGTAAATTAACAAGAACAAGTAGCTTGGGACAAAGCCATTCAAGCCTGGTGATAACAGAAACCTTGCAATCTGTGAACACAAAATCTATAGTTAAGAAGAATAACCTGAGTCTTGTAAAAGCCTTCTTGACTTCTCCCTAGTTTTTCCAAAGCCAGAGGTGTGCTGCTGTGTCCTTGCCATTTGTGTTGGCAAGAATGATTCATATGGATGAATCATCCTGCTGGTGTTCCTGCCTGTTTCCAAGGGGATGGCTCATGGACTGACATGCCAGTCAGTACCAGGGCTGTTTGTACACAGGGGCTAGCTGGCCAAAGTCAAATGACAGCACTCAGCCTCAGACTGTGGGAGATCCAATTGTTTGCCAAAAAACAAGTTCAGCTTTTGGTGTTTTCCTTAAGCAGTACTTTCAGCAGCAAATCTCAGAAGTTCATAAGCCATTCCGACACTCTGCTGTGACAGAACATCTAAATATGGTAGCAACATTATTTAAAGTCAACCTGGCCTAATCATTAAGTTCAGCCATACATTCCTTCTTCCCACCACCCCTGTTACTATCCAGCTTAGAAACTGCACTGGATAACCTGTGAGTCTCCTGTTGAAGTTTTGCTTGCAGTCACGTTACCTAAACAGATCATTCCACTTGCTGCAGTCCTTTGTTTTGTCCTCACTGAATCAAGTCTAGTCAAAGTAACCACTGAACTTTTTAGTGACAGGCAAACCTGTAAAGCTTTTATTTCTAGGATACATTAAAATAATCTGCATAAAATAATGCACCAGAGATGATATTCCAGTCTCATTTTTGTAGTATCATTACGGTAAAGGTTGAAGGATTACGCTGTCTAGAAATGACCCAACTTATTCATGAACAGAAAAGGAACCCTTAAGAATTCTTCATGCCCCACATCCTACCAGTAGAGCTTGCACCAATGCTAAATGTAGCACTGACAAGTCAACTGACCACTCAAAAAAATTTCTCTTCATTTCAGTGAATTAATAATTATTTTGTGTAAGTAATTTTGTCAATAAGAAGACTGCCAAGAAATCCAGGGATTTCTACACTTGTCAGTCATTAACAGCTATAAGTAATCATAGTGAAGTATTCCAAGCTGCTTAAGTAGTATGTCAGAGCTTGCTCTTTCATAACATGTTTTCTATACTCTCAAACCTTTTTCTTTTTCCTTTCTCTCTCCCAACATTTCCCCAACCTCAAACATAGACATATACATTTCCTTCTGTGACCAGTCATTCATTCCTAATTTTACACTACTTAGAAAGAATCTTATCATATTTAGCAACATTTCAAATGATGCAACGGTAAAATGACAACTAGCTGAAAACAATAAAGCAGAAAATCAATATAGGTAATATAGCTCTGATGATTTTGTTGCTTAACACCAAGCACATGGCAAAAGTTCTTGGAAATTACCTTAGGAGACTCTTTGGAAGGAAGTGGAAGGAATGACTTTTTTCCAGTTTTGGATGATCTTGTGGATGCTGGAGAATCTGGAGCCATATGCATGGATTTCAAGTTGTTGATGTTTTCAAGGTATTTTTTCCTCAAGGCTAGCAGATCCTGTAGGTACTTTAAGCAGTCCTGAGTTTTAGAGTACATCCAGTCTCTGTCTTCCTCTTTTGTCTGAAAGCAAGAGTCGATGCTACTTGTACTTCTGCATTTTTTTAGAGGTTCACTAACTTTTTCCTGCTCACCTCCAAGGACGTACATAGAAGTGCTGCGGATCAGTCTCACTGCAGAACCTGCGCCATCACAGTAAGGGATGTCATCTGTCACGTTTCTTCGCTGGGAGTTGGGGTGAAATATAGAATGGATCTTTTTGAACATAATGTGTCACTTTCTCCCCTTTATATTTTTTCTCTTTCAGCTCCTTAATTTAACACTAGATCTGGCAATCAGCAGAAATTACCTTTGCCCTTAGCAGACAAAAAAAATTTGCCACTTACTGTAATGAGGAGAGAAAAGAAACCTATGGCTGCACCAATTGTTTTCAGTCTAACATTGTGAGAAGCATGGTGGTAATGAAAAAAAGTCTTTCCTATTCCATTTGTGTCAGTGAAAGAGTTTTGTCCTTTCCTCGGTTTAAAGTGTAGTCGAGGAGGTCAAATATCATTCTTTGACCTTTTGTTTGGCGTCTGGTCCCCATAAAAAGCATGAGCACGGAGGCAGGAATTCCCTCTCCCGCTGTTGCCTCTCTCTCCCGGGTTCCCCTGGGCGCTGGCCGTGGTGCTGATCCTCTCCCGCCCGCCGCCGAGCGCCCGCCGTGGGGGCAGCCGTGGGGGGATGCTCGGGAAGAGCCGGCTGGAATCAGCCTCCACAGGAGCCAAAGCCTGGGTGGAGATGAATAGTTTCTGTCGAGTGGAGTTCAGCTGCTGAAAGAAGTCGCTCTGGGTTTCACCCGGCAGTAACCAGGAGATGGCTTCGGCTACCTGATCCCACAGTGCTGCCAGAAACCAAGAGGATTCAGATGTCAGGCTCTGTTACACTCAATACAAAGATGCCCTGTGTAAGAGATGCTGTAAAATAAAACACTCTTCCAAAGTACTGCTCTGGCAAAATATTGCAGACAGAAACGTAAGAATTTGTACCTTTCCACATTAGTTGTCCTCCTAGGTTGGTGCAAGAACATTCAATACAGGGTGTTTGGTGATTGACTTTTGGCTGAAAGTACTGACAAACTTTGACTATTTATTAACATACTCAAGACATGGCTAGTATTTCTGACTATGTGTTCACATGATGTATGCTGTGGAGATAAGCAGATAGTGAACTGAGGCAACCAACAACTACTTAAAAACAAGAAGAGATGCCCAAATGAGTTTTCAATCAAGTTTGTTGAAAAGAGTTTTCGTAAGTGATCCTGCCCAAGCATTGACTGCTTGAGGAAAAATAATTCTTTTTAAATCAAATAGATATTGATCATCCTGCAAGCACCACTGAGCAAATTTCTTCTTTAGCCTCTGGAAGTGCTAAATGAAGTCTTAAGAATCCTAAGATCTGCAAGATCTCAGGAGGAAAGCTAGGTTGGCACATACATGTGTGTCTATTGCTTTGGGAACTCCAAAAACTGGGTAATAAACATACTCCACAACCATCTTAAAATGTTCCTTTTATTTATAGCTAAAGTTAATAAGTACTTATAACAACTAAGAATTGAGGCAAACCAGTTTTTTCCACTTTTGCTGCCTTCTAATAGCAGCAATTCCCATGGCAGCTGAAAGTAGCCTAGAGATTGTTCTGAAATACAGTCAGCTGTTTGGTATCTCGTATTTGTATGGAGGTATTCCATATCGAACCATTATCGCTTCTCTTCAAAGGTCTACTCAATCCCCCAGCTAGGCAATAGATTAAGCTGACTTTATGTTAGCACAGCTCATTAGAACTATGAAAAAAAGATGAGCTTTATCCCCAGAATTACCTGTCTAAGATAGATAAAGTTTCTGGTCATCAGTACTAACACAGTATAAAAATAATAATAGTAATAATAATAGTAATAGTAGTAGTAATAATAATAATAATAATAATAATAATAATAATAATAGTACCATCTACATATTGATTTTCAGAGTAAAAGGCTGTAAAGGAGTTTCAATGTACTGTCCTGGGTGGGTGAGGTAAATATCTTCCATAGCCATTCCCGGGAACTTGTTTACCAAGTTAAGAAAATTAAATTTTTCCAGAATAACCCTAATAAAAAATTACTTAGATTTGCTACATGGGATACTGGTCTTTGCTCATAGACATGATGCACTACCTCTCTCTTAGTTCAAAAAACCCATAAATCAAGAAAATCAGTGGGTTATCAAGGAAATATTGATAAAGGCTTGAATCAATAAGGTCATTGGGAACTCCATTGAGAAACTGCTTACATTATCAGACATTGCCTTTCAATTGCAGATTGATTTATAAGCTCATCTGGGTTTATAAAGAGCTACAGGGTAAAGAAAAAACCTGGACCAACCAATCAACCAGAAAACCCCCAAGGTTCTGTTGATGAAACCACAGGAAAAGGTACATCTGTGAAGAGTAAATCTGATGTGATGCACTGGCATTTGAAAAATGTTTCATATGGGCCATAGCTTTTCCCACCCTACTTCAACTGAATACTGAAAACATATGCTGACATCTCACTAATTTAAAATAAATAAGTAAAGAAATAAATAAGTAAGTTTTCAGGCTCTAAAAAAGTGCTCCATTTAAAACATGTTCATTCTCAATTTTTTTAAAAGCTTGCTGGGCCACATTCATTCTGTGCCAACATATGTGTCATTCCCATTGTTCATGGTGCTGTTAAAATAAGGAATATTAATAAATGCATGAAACAATACAGTAACTGCATTATATAATAGAATTCCATTTGCAGTCATAAAGGGACATTTATGATTATTTCAGACATGAATGTTTCTATGCTTTGGTAATGGGCAGTGGGAAAATCTCTCCTAATGTAAAAATTAATATTAATCTGTTTTCTTCAGAGAATCTACTGTAATTTTAATAGCTCCATGGATTTAAAATTCGAAGGATGAAATAATGGATATACTCTACTTTGTTTTCTAAGAAGCAAAATGCCCTCATAAATGTCTTTTTGAGATATTTTCCTATAAGGCATTTGCTTTGAAACATGTTTCCCGGTTACTGTTCCATTTATTTATACTCAAACTCTGTTTCCCACATACCTGTGTCTCTTTTTAAGTAAATAACAGAGCAATTATAATTCAGCCACCACCACAGATCACAGGTCTCTTCCCCAGAGTTACTGCTGTGGGCTCAATATGCTACTGTTATCTAAGACAGCTGGTAATTAAAAGTGAGGGTCTTGTTCAAGAATGATTTCCTTCTGCACAGACACTCATCAAATGCCAAATACGGCTGAAGAGGAAAATTTAATTCTCTTAATTCAAAGTTCTGAATTAATGGACAGCTATTAAATCATAAATAAAGACCTCCCAAAGAAAGAGCTTGTGAGAAGCAGATCAAATAGACCAGACTCATCAAATAGACCACACTAAATATTTAATGGCATCTAAGATTACTGGCTTTGACAAGGCAGTGCTCACACCTTGCTTGTTCATTTGGCTACTTGAATCTGACTTCATTTACTCAATGTTTAAAGTCACTTTTTTTCCTATTACTGTTTTCAACAAGTCTGCTTTCTTTGCAGCTACCAGGGTGATCTAAGTTTCATTTAACAGCACCCAATCACTCCAAAAACTGTTTTGGTTTTTTTTTTGTCTAGCCCTGGCATTCTGTCAGTTCTTGATCCATCATGACTGGATAGGAAAACCAAGTTAGAAAATCCAATATATGTGATTCGTTTAACTAAATTAACTATACAGTTGAAAAAAACAAAACAACAAAAAACCATAAAATCAAATGTACAGATAAATACATGTAGGTATTTTTATCAATAAGTGATTTGTCAAAATGCATTTTTATCTTTTGAATAACATGACAACATGTATACAAATCTATCTACCTGATAGTTAAATTTCATCATGACTGGTACAAAAGAATGTCAAATAATCCTTGAAATAAAGTTCTGATTTCAAAGAAGATCTTTGACAAAGTGTAGATGACAACATATTCTTTTTCTATCATAAACAGATTTATCAATCTGTTGTATCATGGCAGATAGGATAATAAGTTTCATTATATTTTTAAAATTAAAATGAAACTCTTTGCTTTTAAAGAAAAAAATCCACACATAAAATATGCGAGTGGATAGTAAAGATACTGAGGCTTGTGCTATTTTAGCTAGTTCAGAAATTAGAGCACAGTTGTCAGTCTCTGCTGAACTCTTCCATGTCTATACAGCTGCATAAAAAGTAGATTGTTTGGATAGTGTTAATTGAGAGAGTCCAAAACAGAGGAAAACAGAGTAAACAATTTGTCACACCAAGTATCAACACTTTGCTCCCTAGTCCCTGACTATTTCATATATTCCCTGGAAGTTCTGCAAAGACACACACACACACACACACACACACAGAATCTGTTAAATATTTAAGAGAAAGACAACAAATGCAAGAATGATGAGACCACAGCTCAGTTCCAAAAAAAAAAAAAAATAGCATCCCTGGCTGCATATGGTATTAGTTATGACACTTAGTGTTTCAAAGATCACACATACTTGAAAATATGAGCTGGTGGTGTATTTCCAAATGCTAAATCAGGTACTGATCATCAGTGCTTTTGGAGGGTGGCAAGAAACATCCACTATTAGAGGTGCAATACCACAGGTTCCCACCTTTCACTGGCTAAAAGGGAAGAGGGAAGAAGAGCTGACCTTGTTATAAAGCAAAGAAGAATCCTCAAAAATGGTTATATCTTCTCTTTCAGCCCACAGAGGTAACAGTCTGTTCTGCCTTCCCAAAACTGCAATCAGGAATTGCTTGATATTCTTCCTCTTTTGGGAAGAAGTTTTCGCAAAGTATGGGAAAGGAGATAAATTCTAATACCATGCATTTCAAACATCTATGACTGCTTCTCTTAAACTGAAGAAATAAGTTTCTTGAGGATGAAGATAAAGATTTTCATTTGAGCTGATTCAGAGGAAAATGCAGTGAAATCTCTCTGTGTTGCCCACTTGTCAATCTTGATTTCTAATGGTACAAGCTTGAGCCATGTCAAACACTAACCTGTCAAACCAGCTGAGTCAGAATATTGACTCTCCTATCAGAACATGAAGAGGTTTTTTTGTAAATTTGGAACACTATATTCCATCTAACCTAAATTTTAATCTAAGTTATACCATTTGACTTAGAATGCATGCACTCTCCATAAATTTTCACCCCATGAAAAATTTCATTCATTGAACAGGTTTTGTT